TTGAGGTCTCTGTTGGTGTATAGGATGGGTAGGGACAATGAACCTATCGGTCCATTTTTTTAGTGTAAGTCTAAATCCGATTTCAAGTATTTTTTACGTTTTCACCATGTTTCCATTCGTCCGACAGCTGTTAAAATTATTCCTGTGACAGCTCATTGTATTACTTACAGAAGTACAAAAGCATTTTGGTGATAATTTTCCAGAAAAAAAGTTATTCGTGATGGAATTCAAGCGTGATAGTGTGATTTCTTTATATTTGGCTGGAAAACCACAAGTGGCTATCGTTAGAACACTCCAGCATTTAAATGTGAATAAATCTTTTGTGTCTCGTACCATCGCTCGTTACCATGATACTGGTAGCGAGCCCGACGTCAAAAAAGTGGACGGAAGAAAACAGCAACATCAGCAGAAATGGTTCGAAAAATAAAGAAGCGACTTGATCGAAACCCGCGTCGCAGTGGCCGAAAAATGGCTCGTGAGCTGAACATATCGCAATATTCCATTCGGCAAATATTGAAAAACGAGAGATTGAAATTCCAAAAAATGCAAGAACTTACACCGCAACTGAATGAAAATAGACTCAAAAGAGCTAAAGAGTTGCTTCGCTTGGCCGAAAGTGGCGAACTGCCGAATTTGGCGAAAATATTCTGGAGGGTGTATCAAAGCCTTGGGCATGCAAACATTTTGGCCGCAGACCTTGGACATTCCAACAGGACTCAACACCGTCGCACTCAGCACGCGCCACCCAAAAATGGTTACAAAATGAGGTTCCTCGCTTCATTTCCAGCGCACAATGACCAGCAAAATCTCCGGATACCAATCCGTTGGACTATTGTGTCTGGAGTAAAAATACCAAAGTGTCGATCGCCCCAAAGTGTCGATGGGCCAAAATACCGCAGCCGTTTGAAGGCCATAATTCGTGCATTGTATCCGAAGCATTTGTATCTTTTAAATTCGGACTTGTATTGACAATTTGGTGCACAATTAATTTGAAATCGGATAAAGATATATATGGGACATATATCCAAATCTGAAACGATTAACGATTAACAAATCGGATGAACAATATATATGGGAGCTAAAGCTATATCTTAACCGATCTTCACCAAATTTAACATACTATCTTCTAGATTAAATTCGGTCGTAAGTGCCAAATTCCATCCCATTTGGACAAATATTAGACGTTGGGTGCACAATAAAAGGTGCTGAACCGATCTCGATAAAATTTGGCAAAGGTATTTCTGAGTTGTATTTGCTATATTTCCCCAAATATTGTTGTTACAGAGTGCATATTACGGCAGCAGAGTACTAAAATAACAAATCGGATGAACAATATATATGGGAGCTATAGCTATATCTGAACCGATTTCGATCAAATTTGGCATACTTATTGTCAGGCCTAATTTGGTTGTATGTATGTTGTATTCTATTCAGGCTGATATTACACGTTTGGTGCATAATAAAGGCAAATCGGACGAAGATATATATAGGAGCTATATCTAAATTTTTACCGATTATCTCTAATTTCAATAGGGTTAGTCCTTGGGCCAAACAAATGATTTGTGCTAAATTTCATCTGGATAGGGCGATAAATGCGATCTGTACATTGTTTACAAAATAAATAGACGGACGTACATCCTTAGATCGAATAACTTGATACATCTAATATTATCTTGCTTTTTGGAAAAGAGGAAGGATATTCCAAATTTGCTCAAACTTTGCAAACCCTAATATTTTTATCCATGCTAGGTTTATTGCGAAAATATCGGTCCACTCTGTCAAAAATTTTGAATAATTATAATTATCTCATAAAACGCGAAATAAAAATCCGATTCTCTTCAAATTTTACACATCCAAATATCTCTTCCAACACATGATATGGTATAACAAATAACAATAGTTTTATTTTTTCATAAGTTGCGAAAAAATTGTGCTCATAAAATTGGAAATAAATGTATAAAAACTGCACATCTCAATATTTCTACTAGCAATAGATGAAGTATGTTATTTTGGTCTACTTTATGTGATACCTCAAGCACATCTCAAACTTTTCGAAAAATTATTGATAATAGTCGATATTAATTCTAAATCTGATAAGTTTTAAAATTTATATTAGACTAGATGAACCCGGTACGCTTCGCTACCCCTTTTGATTTTATATGCATTCAAAATTTTATTTACGAATATATGTTGGTTAAAAAAAAAACAAATTTAAAAAGTAAAAAAAAAAATTATTGCATGCGTAAATAACCAAAACCATTAGAAAAGCAGTAACATGACATACATACACGAAGGGTTTGTCCTTCGGATTTATTTATTTGATATTCATATTTATTTCATGCAGTAAACTGCAATCTTTTGAAGTTGAGTGGCATTTCTATTGCAATTAGTGAATTCGAGATAGCAACATACTTCGCCGTAATAAGCGTATTTCAAATAAATTGTTGTGTTGTTTTTAGTGTTAGCCTAAGGCGTTGTGGGTCAATGGTTCTTATTAAAATCATATCCCAATCTGATCCGATTTAAATATAATTATAAAAAAAATTACTTTTACTCCAAACTCCGCCACACCTTTCATATTTCATTGAAATTGGTGCGTCAAATATGTGAAATCGGCCGAGAATATATATATGGGAGCTATATCCAAATCTTAACTAATTTCCAATTAATTTATCACATTTATTATTATAACCAAATTCCGCCACACATTCTGAATTTCATTGGAATCGGTCATATATATCGTGTTTGGTGCATAATATGTATGAAATCGGCCGAAATATATATGTTAGCTATATCCAAACCTCAACTGATTTCAATAAAATTTGGCAATTTTTTTCTGGTGCTAGATTTTGTCTCTCTCGCTTTGGGTGCATCAAATATGTGAAATCGGCTGAGTATATATATGAGAGCTATAATCAAATCTGAACCGATTTTAATATAATTTGACTAATTTATTTTCTAATCAAAATCCCGTTACACATTCCAAATTTCTTTGGAATCGAACATACATATCGTGTATGGTGCATAAAATACATGAAATCGGTCGAAAGTATATATAAGAGATATATCCAAATCTGAACCGATTTTAATATAATTTGACAAATGTATATTTGTTTTAATTTCCGCTACACATTCCAAATTTCATTGAAATTAGGTGCATCAAATACATGAAATCGGTCGAAAATATATATGGGAGCTATATCCAAATCTGAACCGATTTCAATTTAATTTGACAAATTCATTTTGGCTCCCAATTCCGTTACTTATTTAAAATTTCATTACAGTTAGAAATACATATCGTGTTTGGTCCACCAAATACATGAAATCGGCCGAAAATGTATGTGGGAGCTATATCCAAATCTGAACCGATTTCAATATAATTTGGAAAATCAATTTTTTAGATAAAATCTATCACACGTTTCAAATTTCATTGAAATTGGGGATACATAGCGTGTTTGGTGCATCAAATGCTTGAAATCGGCCGAAAATATATATGGGAGCTATATCCAAATCTTAACCGATTTCAATATAATTTGACAAATTTATTTTCGGATCAAATCCCGTCACACATTCCAAATTTCATTGGAATCAAACATTCATATTGTGTTTGAGGCATCAAATGAACGAAATCGGTCGAAAATATATATGGGAGCTATATCCAAATCTGCACCGATTACAATATAATTTTTCAAACTTATTTTTGTTCCAAATTCCGTTACGTCCAATTCCAAATTTGGAGAACGTATCTTCAACCAATTAATAGATATGTGCAAATAAAATCTAAATTTTTGGGAGGTACCTCCGATTCTGATGCTATATCTCAAGTTCCAAGTGGAAATTCAAAAATGAATATAGCCTATGTTACTTTCAGGCGAGGTTGCAGAATATATGGAAATTTTCAGGAAAATCTATTCAGCGGTTTTCGAGTCCATAAATTACAAACAAACAAACAAACATACAAACATTTTCCTCTTTTATAGATATAGAAGAAGATATATGTCAGATACTTCTTTGGAATCTCTCCTATGAAGGGTCAAAAGTTTGCATAATTATAACGCAAGTCTGAATATATTTAAATAACCGAATATTGACTGAGTGTATGCAGCTGGTGGCAATACCTACTGATTCTATTTAACTTGTCAATATACCCATTTCGAATTGGGGATTTCGACACCATGTCATTGGGTATGTCCATTCCACAGTCAGAACTTTACACACCACTACAGAGAACTAAAACTGTGCATTAAAAACAAACTCTTACAACATTACGTCAATGGCCTTAGATGAGCCATAAGACTCAAACCCCCATGTACATATCTGTAATAAATCGTCCACAAAATATTATCATGATATCATGATCAACTAGCCATCGGCAATATCATGACCTACGACTGTCCATATTCTAAAAATGTTTATTATGACAGCAACTTCTGCATTGGGCTACTGCCAAACGCGCTTTTTTTTGGCAAAATGCAAATGTCCAAATAAATAAACCGTTAATTTAAATTAACGACATGCACACACTCACATACACAACAATAACAAAACAATGAGTGATCGCTTATTAAAAGCCAACAAAACCAACAATTTAACATAAAAACCCACAAAAATTACACGAAGCTGGACGTGACATGAATACGTCCACAAAGGTGGCCAAAAATGTTGCCATTGCAGTGTGGTATGGTATGGACGCAACTTGTTGTGGGTGGTTAAGCGAGGGCGCCTCTGCATCGATCGATGTCTCCCCGTTTTTGTTTTTAATATTGGCTAAGGTCAGTTAGTTAGTCGGCCACCACGACCACCAACTTAATCGATGTTTTATTATAAATACCCAAAGTGGCAAACTGAAATAAATCATATTGCATTAGCATTTCAAAGAATCCAAATCACAAAAAGTCCACAATAACAACAAGAAAAAACATGTTCAAATACGTAAGGATTAAAAGCAACAATAGAGGGATTTAGAAAAATTAATAATTTTTTTAAATTATTTTTAGACCATTGCCTTGTTTGCTTTCATTGCCTGTGCTGCTGCCAAGCCTGGACTCATTGGTGCCCCCTTCGCCTACCATGCCCCCGTGGTGGCAGCTGCACCCGCTCCCGTCATCACCGCCACCAGCAGCCAAGTTGTGGCCCGCACACACAATGGCATTGTCCGGGCACCCATTGTAGCTCCTGTAGCACCAGTTCCTCGTGTTTTCGCTCCTGCTGCTCGTGTTGTGGCCCCAGTGGCTGCTCCCATCCACGCCCATCATGTTCCAGTATTTGCCAAATATGCTGCCGCCCCCGTAGTAGCTCGTTATGCAGCTCCTGTACCCCACTTCCATGCCCCTTTGGTAGCTAAATATGCAGCTGCCGCTCCTTTGGCCTACAGCGCTCCCTTCGCTTATTCCTCACCCTTGGCCTATGCCCCTAACTATGCTTGGTAAATTGTATTGAAGTGGGATTTCTGAAGAAAAAAAATCTCACCTTGGACTGTTATTTCCTTCTCATGTTATTATTTTTTGAATGGTATTGTTATTTGTTTTAGTTTAGTAATTCCTATGTAGTTGTAGTTCTTAATAAAACAAATAAATTATTTAAAAATTAAAAATATTTGTTCATTATTCAGTATTCTTAATTTAATAAATAAAACAATCTGTCAGGAACTAGGAATAAGACAAAATTCTGCTAAGAAACGACAATACAATTTATTTTTTAATAAGAGGTGATATCTTGGATTTCAAAGATGACAATTTTTGAGATAATTACAGAAAAGTCGGAACAACTCTATTTTAATAAAAGCTCATCTTTTTTCGAAATTTCGATAATAGCAACAATAATCAGGTATTAATTTTGTTGACCCCCATAATGGGCCCATTTTCGACTTTTGCGGATTTTATAAGAAATCCAGGACCAAAAAAATTTAAAAATAAAAAAATTTAAATTTAATTTAACTATAACTTCCGAATCACTTGTAAACAACCACTTGACAACATGGATAGGTATTTTTACAAGCTTTCCAACGATACCTACATTGTTTATATCGGGTAAGTGGATCCGGGTCTAGTGTGGGTCTTGAACTCGGACTTTAGGGTCTACAATCAGGGGTCCCGGGTCCGTCCCCAAGAATAAAATAGTTTCCCGAAATCAGAGAAAAATACATACCCCTAGGAAAATTTAATCCAGTGAAGAAAGTATTAAAGTCGGGCGGGGCCGACTTTATGATACCCTACACCACTTTGCTAATTTAGTATAGCATATTTAGCTCAAAAGACCAAATATTCCGAAGCATTTGATATATATGGGAGCTATATCCAAATCTGAACCGATCTTGATAAAATTTGGTAAAGATATTTCTGAGCTGTATTTCATATATTTCCCTGAATATCGTTGTTACGGAGTGCATATTACGGCTGTGGGTAACAAATATAACAAATCGGACGAACAATATATATGGGAGCTATAGCTATATCTGATCCGATCTTCACCAAATTTGACATACTAGCTTCTAGACTCAATTCGGTAGTAAGTGCCAAATAACATCCCATTTTGGCAAATATTAGAGAGATTTGGTGCAAAATCAAAGGTAAATCGGACGAAATGATATATGGGAGATATGTCCAAATCCGAAACGATCTCGACTTCGGACTTGTATTGCCCATTTGATATATATGGGAGCTATATCCAAATTTGAACCGATCTTGATACAATTTAGCAAAGGTATTTCTGAGCTGTATTTGATATATTTCCCCAAATGTTGTTGTTACAGAATGCATATTACGGCTGCGGAGGACAAAAATAACAAATCGGATGAACAATATATATGGGAGCTATAGCTATATCTGAACCGATTTCGATCAAATTTGGCATAATTATTTTCAGGGCTAATTTGGTTGTATGTGCAAAATTCCATACTATTCGGACTGATATTACACGTATGGTGTACAATAATAAGCAAATCGGACGAAGATATATATGGGAGCTACATTTAAATTTTTACCGATTATCTCCAATTTTAGTAGGGTTCGTCCTTGGGCCAAAAAATGATTTGTGCAAAATTTTATCTGGATCGGGTAATAAATGCGAACTGTACTTTGTTCACAAAAATACATGGACAGACGGATGAACGGACGGACGGACGGACATGCATATATCGACTCAGAATGTGATTCTATGCAGATCATCAAAAGGAACTATGGGTCTATCTCGTTCCCTTTGCCTGTTACAAACAAATGCACAAAGACATAATACCCTGACCACCTTGTGGTGTAGGGTATAAAAAAAACTAAAGAGTTTTTATTACTAAACTAGAGTTATGCCGAAAATCCAAGTTTATTATAAAAGTAGGCCTCAAAGTAGAAGACATGTGTATCGGTGTTTTAAAGATTTACATCACAAAGTAGCACAAAAAAAGGGTGGCTCCATATATTTTGAAATTTTCGTATTAGGATTCCGGAAATTTCGGCAATATATTGTCTTCCGCAATATTACTGACTATCAAGAGCACCCTACTACGTCAACGAAAAGTCCACTTTAAAATTTTAGACTCGTTCCAACAGATGTTAGTACTCAAAATGTACAATTTGTTCAGTTCGACAAACTTTTTTAATCACAACTTTCAAGTTTTTACATATTATTAAGGGTTTTCTTTTTCGGAAAGAAAATAAGAAAAATGTTTACTTTTTACTTCAAAAAGTCTTCAAAATCTTTAATTTTGCAGTTTTGACCCATATCCAATTTTTCTGTCCAAAACTTTTTTAACGTCACCTCAATATCAAACTTCACTATCTCAGTTCTATCCCTTTACCCAATACCCAATTTAGTACCATTTAGTACTATTCGAACAATTATAGTACACATTTCCAACATCACCTCCATATCTCATTCCCAGATACCAAAAGTAACATTCATATACAATTTCAGGGTTTCAGCTCTAACCCTTTATTCAAAACCAAATTTAGTTCAATTTAGTACTTTTCGTACAAATATAAGACGCATTTCCAAGCCCACCTCCATATCTCATTTCCAGATACCAAACAGAGACTTCAATATAAAATTCCTAGATTTCAGCACTATCCCTTCATCCATTGCTCAATTGAGTACCAATTAGTACTTTTCGAACAGTTATCGTACATATTTCCAAAAACCATCCCCATATCTCAACTACATATACCAACAACACCTGAAAATCCAATTTCAGGACTTCAGCCCTGTGCCTTCGACCAATACCAAATATAGTTCAATTTAGAACTTTTCGTAAAAAGATAGGTCGCATTTCCTCAACCACCTCCATATCTCATTGCCAGATACCAATGGAGGCCTTAATATCAAATATCAGGATTTCAGCTCAGCTTCTTTCACCCCACACCGATTTAGTACTATTTTGGTACTTTTCGGACAATATAGCAAGCATTTCCTAATCACATCCATATCTTAGCCACAGACACCAAAAGTGGTATCTATACAGAATTAAAGAATTTAAGCTTCATCCCTTTACCCAATAACAGATCTTAGTACAATTTAGTACTTTTCGTACAAATATAGTGGGAATTTCCAAACCACCGCCAAAATCTGAAACACAGATACCATCAGTAATCTAAATATCAAATTTCAGAAATTTATCTCTAACTTCGTATAGCCCCCATATAACGGTACCTCCCGATATTCGGTATTTTCATGATTTTAGCGACATTATTTACTGGAATTATTTCAAATTTCGTATCTGAAGTTCGTAATGGGTGCTATAGGCTATGACAAATATTTCTGAATGCAGGCCACATCTTCGTATAGCCTCATACGACGGTACCTCCCAATACTCTGTATTTTTATGATTTGTGCGATATAATTCATCGGAATTGTAAAAAATTTAGTATTTAACGTTCGTAACGTTAAAGGCTAACAGTACTCAGGCTATGACAAAAAAAATCGTATGTAGGCCACATCTTCGTATAGCCTCATATGACGGATCTCCCAACACTCGGTATTTTTATGATTTGTGTGATATTACTCACCGGAATTGTAACCAATTTCGTATTTAAAGTTCGTAAAGTTAAAGGCTGTAGTACCCAGCCTAGGAAAAAAAATCGTATGTAGGTTCATGTTTTCGTATATTCCCTATATAACAAAACATCCCGATATTCGATATGTTGATGATTTTAGCGACATTATTCACCGGAATTGTTTCAAATTTGGTATTCGTAATGGGTACTATAGCCTATGACAAAAAATTTTGTAGGCAGATCCACGTCTTTGTATAGTCTCCATATAACAGTTTTCATATACGTGGTAGTTTCCGGAAGTTTTTTGAAAATAACAAATAAATTACATTACGACTATCCACTTCATATAAGGTTCTGTGTTTCAATTTCACATTTATAGCATCTCCAAGACCAAATTCAAAACTCTTAATATTCTCAACATTTCAAAAAATAATTAATCTAAATTTCAGCCTCTAAAAAGTTCCAACCAAAATTGTTTACATGGACAATTTTTTTCTCCTTTGTGTTATTTGAATCGTTATAATTTTGGTTTTTCGTTCACCAAAGCAACCCTGGGAGCAATTATCTACAACTACCACCAGGTATTGACCCTCCAAGCCAGTTGACATCAATAAAAAATATATTTTGAAAATTAATATTCTGCGAAACTCTAATCCCATTGATGCAATATTGGGATTAAGTTGTGGAAAAAACTAAATGGATTTTTTTAACACGTGTTGTTTGGTGGATTAAAAAAAAACAAACGGGCACAAATAGGTCAACGGATTAACTATGAAGGATTAAGACCTTAACTACACAATTCATTCAAATATACCTGTTCAATGGTGATGGAGAAAATCAGGATATCTCACTTATCTACCTGTTTAATACATATAAAAAATGCAACAGCTGAGGAAGATTGGCAATCACAGTGTAAACATTGCTGAGTGAAGACATCTGAGGACATCTTGACAATGTCAACATTTTCCAAATCAACAAAAACAACCACAACATCAGCGCCACCACGATATTGCACCTTACCCACCCAACAAGGAGAAGCCTTCACCTATGCCCTGTATCTACATCGCGAAGAGTTGAGGAGAAGCCGTTCCTCAGTCGGTGTCAAACGCACCAAATTGCTGCTCACACAAGAACTCATCTCGAAAACTATTAAGAATATCAACAAATGCTCCGCCGATGATTTACAAATTCTCAGCCGTGAGACGATTTTCAAAAAGAATTTACATCGCGAAATAGCCCGACAGAGACATCGCCATTATTTGCATATGTTGCGTCTGAAGAATCAGCAGCAGGAAATAATTGCCGAGAATCGGGTGTATTTACATGGAGAGAGTTGTCGTGCGAGGCAGGAGTTGAACCAGAACTCGTATAATGCCGCATCGTCGCAGGCCATGGAAGTTAGTCACTAAGTTTCAAATGTTTAAAAAATAATTCTAAAATGTTTTTTTATTTGCATTTATTATATTTTGTATATATTTAAAAAGAAATAAACAAGTTAAAAATTATCAGTCGGTTTTGTCCGATAGATGTGAACCCTCAGCCAATGTTCGATTATTTAAATATATTTTGACTTGTGTTCTAATTATTCAAATTGTTGACCCTTTATAGAGTAAGTTCCAAAGGAATGGTCCAATATACTTCATTTCGTATCGGACCTAAATAAATATGATATAAATATTGGGACGTGCCAGGTTTGGACTTATAGGTTACTTTCTTCACTTGTTAAGAGATATGCGATAATTTATAAGAAATGTTGAAATGTGAGTGAGGTACCAGATAAAATCGACCGAGGTATTATATTTTCATACTTCATCTAATACAGATAAAAATATTGGTATAGGCAAAATTAGAAGGAGATCGAACAATGCGAAATCTTAAATTCCTTATTCATCTCAGGTCTCTGATTGGGAAAAATATTTAGGTGTAGGTCTGAATGGATTTGGATGTTAATTTCGCGTTTTATGAACTTCTATTTTGACTCTTTGTGGGGAAGGTAGCTAGGAGTAGACCGATGTATTCCATTTTCACAGCAGATATTGTGTTAGTAAAATATAATGGCATCTGTGAAATTTGAAGAGAACCGAATGCTTATTTCGAAATTTATGATCGCTTTGGTTATACACAATTTTGTCCCTTTGTGGAGGAGGTACCAGAAGAAATAATCTGATCTCTACCATCTTTATAACGGATCTTATGGTGATGGATATATTGAAATGAACCAAGTCTGAATGGAATCGGATGTTAATTTCGCGTTTAATGAGCTTCGTGGATATTCGTGGATTTTGACCCTTTGTGGGGGTAATTCGGTATATCACATCTTCACAGCAGATCATGTGTTAGTAAAAATCATGGCATGTGTGAAAAATGAAGAAACCTCGATGCTTATTTCGGAATTTATGATCATTTTGATTATTCAAAATTTCGACCCTTTGTGGAGGAGGTCCCAGAAGAAATGGTCCGGTCTCTACCATTTTTATAACAGATCTTGTGTTGATAAAAATATTGAGATTTGCCAAGTTGGAATCGGATGTTAATTTCGCGTTGTAGAAGCTCCATGGATATTCAAAATGTTGACCTTTGTGGGAGAGGTACCAGAGGGAGTGCGCAGATATATCTTATCTTCACAGCAGATCTTGTGTTAGTAAAAATCATGGCGTGTGTGAAATTTGAAGAAAACCCGATGCTTATTTCGGAATTTATGATCGTTTTGGTTATTCAAAATTTCGACCCTTTGTGGAGGAGGTCCCAGAAGAAATGGTCCGGTCTCTACCATCTTCATAGCAGATCTTGTGTTAATAAAAATATTGAGATTTGCCAAGTCTGAATGGAATTGGATTTTAATTTTGCGTTTTAGGAGCTTCATGGATATTCAAAATTTTTACCCTTTGTGGGGCAGGGTTAATAAAAGTATCGTGATGTGTATAATTGGAAGACAATCGGACTCTTACAACACTTTTTATAAGAGTTATAATTATTCAAAAATTAGTCCCTTTGTGGGGGAGGTATTTGAGGGAGGGGACCGATATTTTCCATTTTCTCACCTGACCTCGCACTAACGCAAATATTAATATTTACGAAGATAGAGCAAAATCCGATCGTTCTTTCTCTTCCTGTGCAGTAAAATTTTTTTTATATGAAAAGTTCGACCTTCTGTGTGTGAGGTACCAGAAGGAGTGAACCTATATTGCCCATCTCCGAACTCGATCTAAGTTTGATAATAATATTATGATTTATCATGTTTGCACCAAATGGGATACTCCCTTCGAGAGCTATCGTGCGCACCAGACAGCAGACAGATAGACAGGAAGACAGACGAAGGGACATCGCTAGATCGACTCCAAATGACCTGAAACGGATTTGGCCCAAAGAGGCTTAGTGTCTAAAACCGTTAATTCGATGAGGCACGTTTTGGTCGTATCAAATGATATATACCCCCTGTAGCCATATAACTGAGAGTATAAAACTTGTATATTATATGTTAGCATGAGATTACCTCATATAATTTTGCCGTAGGTACTACACTGTCTATGTTCGCATTACTTACCCGAGGATTCCGACCCGTCTGGCCTTAAACGAACCAGCCTAATTCCAAAGCATATATCGATAACTAGTCTTAAAATTTTAAAAGATAAGCATTTAAAAAATGATTCCAAAGTAGGCTTCTAATTTATTTTAGAAATATTTATTGATATTTATCTTACCTTAACTCAGAATTCTCCATTTATGTTATGAAATTGAAAAAAAAAACTTAAAACTTCGATTTATTATAGTAATAATTATTATTTTTTTCATTTAATTTTTTTTTTATAATAATTTATGAGCAAATCATTATCATGATTATTGGGTCGTCAATGTCGTCGTCTAAAAACACAAAAAAAATACTCTATAAAAATATATATTATATATGAATAATAATTATAATAATAATAGTAATAATGATTATAATAATAATTAATAATTTCATTTTGTTATGGACTTAAAGTTCTGATTTCGTTTTCTTATCGATTATCAAAAATAAAATAAACAATAATAATAATAATAGTATTTTATATCTAAAAAAAAATAAAAATCTAGAAAAGGAAATTATTCCAAGGTAATAATTGTAAGTTATACTTGTAGTTTTTATTTATTATTGTTTGTTTGTTTTTCTTTTATTTTTAAATTTATATATTTTTTAAACAAAAAAGAATATATTCAACACCAACTTAGTTATTGTTTTTTTTGTTTTCTTTTGTTTTCTTATATATAAAAAAAATAATTTTTATATGGTTTTGTTTATTTCGTTTTCTTTATTTAGAATAATAATAATAATAAATTTATTAAATAAAATATTGTTTTTTGTTTTGTTTCTGGTGTTGTTGGTAATTTTGTTCAAAAACATTTTATTTTTTATTCATTGTATGATAAAAAATATGTATTGTTGTTTTGCTTGTTTTCACAATTAACATTTTTTTTATAAAACAAAATAATTTTTAATGAATGAATTTAGTTTTTTGTTTTGTTTTTTTGTTTTGTGGGCTTGATTCGTGGTGTGGTGTTTTTTTAAAATTTTTATATATGTATATGATAATTGTTATTATTAAATATTAGTTTATGTGTGTGTGTTTACGTTATCTAATGTTTTGTGTGTGTGTAGGTGTTTGTTTGTTTTTAAGTTTGTTTAAGTGAATTTCATTTACTTAATTTACTAATTACTCTAATAAGCGCTCCATTCTCCTCTTTAAGGCGTAAGTTTTCAGTTTTATATGCATCCAATTGCTGTGAAAGAGACGGAAAAGAGAAAACAAAATATATTTACATTAATTAAATGATACATATGTACAGACATTTTACAAACTAGTTAACAAAAAATTAAAATAAATCATTTCAAAACACATTTACATTCCAGAACAAGAATTTAAGCATTTTCTTCGAGTTGTGAATCGAAGTTTGCGGTGGCCATAAACATTAAAAAACGAAAATAAAAAAAAACAGTTCTGAGGGCGGTGAGTTTAATATTTTAAGCAAAAACAGCATCAATCATTAAAAAATATTGTCTTGCCGATACTTTGTGACCGGTAGTCAATTACGAAATACAGTAGCTGCTTGGGCAGATCCAAATCTGATATCCAACGTAATTCCCTTTTGTATAGAAAAATTTAAATTCGACAGACAGAAGTTATTTTTTTTCTCATAACAGAAAAAAAAACCAATTAATGCCACATCTTCTAACATTGTCCCAGCAAAAAAAATGGTGGTCTTTTGTGCCACTTTCAGTATTACTAGTAATGACTACGACATACCTTCAGCATTACCAATAAGTTAAATGAGTAACGGTGGTACAGAAAGACTAAAACTTTTGTAAAATTCGAATGTTTGAAATAACAAAAATTTACCTGGACCTGGATAGAAGAAAATACTATGAGTAGCAGTCTCAAATTTTTACTCATACCCAAAAAGGTTGTCATTACCGATATACAAGAATTTTTCCAAATAATGAACACAAATATCATATTTATCGCATAAGTGTCCAGACCCGATTTATAGAACTCCTGGGAGTACAAAAAAAATAAAACGAACAAACTCAAGTTTTCGGTTTCGCTAAAATAGGTGCGAGCATGCTTTGCTCGTTGTAGCGTGAGAGCAAAAATCGAACAAATTCTACTCCTGTCGGGCACATTGCTTGCCCCTTGCTTCTATTGATTTTTTTACCCTCACCATATGAGTAGAGAGGCTATATATCATTTTATAGGGCCAAAAAGTGCCTCATCGAAATAACGGTTTGGACTTAATCCGCTTCAGGACATTTGGAGTAGATCAAGCGATGTCCGTCCGTTCGTCTGTCTGTCTTATTTGGTTCGGTTTCGCTAGAATAGGTGCGAGCATGCTTTGCTCGTTGTAGCGTGAGAACAAAAATCGAACAAATTCTACTCCTGCTTGCCCCTTGCTTCTATTGAATTTTTTACCCTCAGCCATATGAGTAGAGAGGCATTTTATAGGACCAAAAGTGCCTCATCGAAATAACGGTTTTAGACCCTAGGTCTCTTTGGACTTAATCCGCTTCAGGACATTTATAGTAGATCAAGCGATGTCCGTCCGTTCGTCTGTCTGTCTGTTTGCTAGGTGGTGCGCACGATAACTCTCGAATGGAGTATCCGATTTAGCCCAAACTTGGTACATCGTGATATTATTATCAATATTACGGAGATGGGAAATATCGGTCCACTACTTCTGGTACCTACCCCGCAAAAGATCGAACATAAAAAAAAAAAAAAAACAAATAAAGTAGTATCAGTCGGTTTTGCCAAAAGATGGGGTATACATCCTTCAGTTATGATTATTAAAACTGTTGACCCTTTATGGGGTAGGTTCCGAAGTGAATATTGACCAATGTTCGATTTCCTTCACATTTTACACATACCAATGTTTTTATCTGTATTAGATGAAGTATGAAAATGGAATACTTCGGTCCGGAATAGAATACTGTTACCTCACGTAAATTTTCACATTTTCCTAAAATTTGCACATATCTCATAAAGTATAAGAAGTAGTCGATATGGTCCAAATCTGGAACGTTGTACTATTTATATCAGATATCTTGCTTAAGACTGATATAAATAGTACCACGTTCCAGATTTGGACTTTATCGACTACTTCTTATACTTTATATGGGATATGTGCAAATTTTGGGAAAATGTGGAAATATACGTGAGATAACAGTATTCTATTCCGGACCGAAGTATTCCATTTTCATACTTCATCTAATACAGATAAAAACATTGGTATGTGTAAAATGTGAAGGAAATCGAACAGTTATATCCATTTTTATGCGAAATCATAAATTTCGATAAAACGCATATTCATATCAGATTTCTGGTTAAGAACCTTATGGTACCAGAACAATTTTTCCGATCTCCACCATCCTTATAACAGATCTTGTGTTGATGGAAATATTGGGATGAACCAAGTCGGAATGGACTTTGTGGGGGAGGTACCAGAAGGAATGGTCCGATCTGTACCATCTTTAAAACAGATCTTGTGTTGATGGAAATATTGATTTGTGCCAAGTCTGAATGAAATCGGACATTAATTTCCTGTTTTATGAGCTTCATGGATGTTCATAATTTTGACCCTTTGTGTGGGAGGTACCAGAAGGAGTGGACCGATATATTACATTTTCAGGCCAGAAAATGTGTTAATAAAAATATTGTGATGTGTGTTATTTGAAGGCAATCGATAAGAGTTATAATTATTCAAAATTTTTCGCTTGGTGGAGGAGCTAGTTGATGAAGTGGACCGATATTGTCCATTTTCGCACCTGGCCTAGTACTGATGCAAATATTAGGATTTGCAAAGTTGGAGCAAAATTGGATTATCTTCTCTTTCTGTGCAGTAAAACATTTTTTTTTTATTGAAAATTTCGACTTTTGTGGGGGACGTACCTGAAGGAGTGGACCGATATTACCTATCTCCGAACTCGATCTAAGTTGGATAATAATATTACGATCTTGCAAGTTTGGACCAAATCAAATGCTCCCTTCGAGAGTTATCGTGCGCCCCAGTCAGACGGACGGACAACGCTAGATCGACTCCAAAGGTCCTGACATGGGTCCAAAGAGACCTAGGGTCTAAAACCTTTATTTCTATGAGACACGTTTTGGCCGCAACAAATGGTATATACTCTCCCTCTCTAACCATATGGCTGAGGGTATAATGAACGTTTCCATATAAAAATATTTAAAAATAGCAAAAAGTAGCCATTTCGAGAAGGGCTTTAAGGTACTTCCCTTCCCTGCGAACTTCCCTTGAAGAAGGTAATGTTTGGAAGAAAATGGGCAACGAGTTGACAGTGACATTAAACCATAGTCGGAGCGGTATTCCAGATTTAGCTTCTCATGCCAAAAGGTAATTTTTTTGGATCAAAAAAAAAAAAAAAAAAAAAAGGAAATTGTTTAAAAAAAGTGTTAAAAATATTTCAAGCAACTGCAACGATCTGTGAATCAAGAAACCCCGATTATAATATAAATAATTTATTAGGTTTTTTCCGAACAATGTTTAATCAAATTGAAGAAATAAATGCAAAAATTAGACGCACTTAGGAAATCTAAGTCAATTATTTTAGAATAACAGCAAACTGAGTATGTTCTTTTTTTCTGAAAAAGCTGTATATCTCTTTATTTTGCATGTATCTGCCAAAGCGAACTTGTTTAGGCACCACACCGAAACATAGGACTATCCACAGAAACGGAACCCCTGGACACCAAATTACAAGAAATTGGTTGGAAAATGAGGGAAAAAATCGTTAAAAACGTATAAATATTCCAAATCTATAAAAAATGGAATATTTTTTACATTACCCTCATAATGAATACCACTATTATATATTTAAATTTACTAAACAAATATGGGAAAAAGAATGAGATTAATTTCATTGTCATTAATTATTATTTCTGATAAAAGATAAAAATATAGCCCATTAAATTCTCGAGCGTCAATGAAAGATATTTTTTAAAATAAACATTTGGTTATTCCACAATTTAAATTTCAACTTTAAATTCTTCAATTTTGTTTTCAAAAATTATCAGTTGTATTACAAAAAATGCTTAATTTTAATTATATTGTTGTAATCATCTAAATAGCCAAAAATACATGCAAAACAATTATTAAAAAAAAACTTAGCAAACCATGCGATTTTTTAAGAAAATTTCAAATAAAAGAAAATTCAAAACATTTTGCGCTACAGTAAATACATTTTTGATATGCCTTGATCAATGGTAATTCAATGATAAACAATGAATGCCATATGTTTTGAAGAAAATATGCAAAGATTCTTATTGTGAAAAAAATATGATTTTTTTAAGGAAATTGAGACAGTTATACAAAATGAAATCAAATGTTAGAAAATGTTATGAACATGAAAAACAAAATATTTATAAAAAAAAAATACAATTTTGTCCCAAAAAGTATGCTGTAATTTCGAATAATACAAATTGAAATTTGTAGTGTTTTTTTTTTTTGAACAACTGTTGAAATACAATACCTTATCACACTTAATATCCATGTCTATATTAAAATTTTAATATTTGTAAAAAATGTGATAAAAAAACACGTTTCAACATAATTTTTTTTACACAATTTCAAATCGGACAAAAATGCCGTATCAGATTTTATCTTGAATATTTTAATTTTAAAATATTTAATTTTAATTCCGTTGTAGTTATACATCGTTTAAAAAATCTTTCAAAAAAAGAGCAAGTCAATATGTCTTTCAAACAATAAGATATATAAAAATCTCCTACTGAAAGAAGACCATTAAAAATTAATCTAAAAATGTAATGCCTTCCTAGATTTGAAGAAGTAAAGCCAGACTTCGGGATATTATAGAAGTTCCTCTTCTATAAACATTGCACAGTCCCCGTTTAGAGTTATACTTAGTTTTTATACCCTACACCACATAGTGGTAAGGGTATTATGTCTTTGTGCATTTGTTTGTAACATGGAGATGGAAACGAGATAGACCCATAGTTACTTTTGAGAACCTTCATAGAATCACTTTCTGAGTCGATTTATGCATGTCCGTCCGTCTGTCCGTCCGTCCGTCCGTCCGTCCGTCCGTCTGTCCATGTATTCTTGTGAACAAAATGCAGGTCGCATTTATTATCCGATTGAGATGAAATTTTCCAAACAATATTTTTTTGGCCCAAGGACGAACCCTATTGAAATTGGTGAGAATCGGATCAAATTTAGATATAGCTCCCATATATATCTTCATCCGATTT